GGGCGAAATCGCCTCTTGATATCACTAACTATCCTGAATAAAGGCTAACGCAAGACCCGTGCGTAACAAGAAGCTCCTTTCTGAAGTTTTTCTCGAAAATTTCTCGAAAATGGAATATTCACCCAGTAATAGATTACTAGCATGCCGACGGGCGGTGCCCAGAGGAACGATGAGCAAGGTCGTTCATAAAGATCTCAAAATTTGAGGGAATCAAAAGATCCATAAGTCCATGTCCTCGGTCAAAAACGCATCAAGAAGAGGAATAAGAATACCTGGAAATTATGCGAGGGCCACTGGTCGGTGAATGGTTCAATTTTAACATGACTCTTGATAAAACACGGCTGTACCTTTATGTTTGTGGAAAGAACCTGTCCATTTCGTGCCGAAAACAGGGTTATCATCGTCCTAGCTAGCCTTGGATTTCTGTGAACTTGGTTTGCTGAAGCGTGCTCTTGGAAATCGGCGCCGCAAAACTTTTGGTGGACTTTGGAAAGTTATCAAGAGAGGAATGAGAGACACTTTATAACTCTGTGCTCCGTAATTTACTGGCAGTATGGAAATTATGGTGCAGGGCTATTCCTCAGAATCGAGGACAAGAAGTAGAACATAATAGTTTCTAGAAGTAACACAAACATAATAATCTGAATTTAAAAATGGTCAAATAAAGTTGGGGCAACCTGTTTTTGTTTACAACATTGCTTTAGGCGTGAATTTTACGTAAATTATATTTTTACCTTTTGAGTGAGTCGTTTTCGTGAAAATCTACCATTTAAAAGGACGCACATATTAGATTCGTGCTTCAGTCTGGTGCATGCACCAAGTTCATGAATGTCCAGCATCCTAATGTATGGTCCCCTTAATTTTTTGTAGCACTCCAGGCCCTGGCATTTTTATAACTCCTCCTTACCTCCAAAATCATGTTATTTACTAGTCACGTAATGAGAGATACTTCTCTTGGAATACAGTGTCATGAAACCGTCTTTCTCTCAATTGTTGTCAACGATGAAATCCACAGCGCTCCCTTGCTTTGGACGAGGCGAACACTAATAGTTTGATTCAATTTCCCCCTTCTGATTCCAAAAGAGGTCTGAAGGGAAAGACATTTGGAACCTTCCTTTCTGGAGTGTTTGGGGGTTTCCTGACTGCATATATCATGCTCTCTTCCAATTGCTCCATCGATTGCCACAACTCCTATCATTTCCTCTCTGAAGAACTGTAAGCATTATATATCTTCATACAAGTTCTTGTAATATGCAATTAGAGTTATGCATATGTGGAATATGTCAATAATTGATTGTATCCATTATTATGCGGTATTTAATAATGAAAACACATGTGTTGCATCATTTCAAACCTTATATACTAGATGAGAAAGGAATATATTATTCGGTTTGAAATGATCCACATCCTTCAGTGAACGTAACAAAGGCATCAATCACTTCCGCCAAAAGTTGAAGTTCTACAGCTTCCATTGAAATCTCAATTCATATAGGAAATAATTGAAGAAATGCACGAAGTCATAGGGGGAACCTCAAAACGTAGAATTCGGATTTCTTTCCTTTGAGTGCTTTGCAGGCTTTTAAATGCAGAGGGTTAATTGGGAGATAAAAATCAGTTTTAATATACTTCGTTAGAGAACCCTCCAAAACTACTCTTGTTCCAAACGACTTGGCTAACATTTCAGGAAGAACTGATTGCTATTTTCGATTTACAGTGTTGAACAAGAGACAGGTCCTGTCCTGTATCGTCACGACATGGATGCCAACACTGTACTCCTCAAACAATATCTACAAGAGCTTGCCCAATGGGGTGCTTTCTCATCCTTTTCATGACCTTGTCCTTGCCTTCGGCGTAAGGTTTCAAAAGGCTTTGGTTTCCCCATCAACAGATGAACGAAAGTCGGCCTCAGAGCAATCGAGGAAGGTGCGGGTCCTGTGTTGGGTCATGACTCAGCCGGAAAACCACGAGAAGAAGGCAAAGCACGTCAAGGCAACTTGGGGGAAGCGTTGCGATCAACTTTTATTTATGAGCTCCAAGGAGGGTATGCATAAAAAGCATTTTCCTGAACTCGTCATCATAGTTAAGCTAAGCAGAAATTTCATAGTAATACGATGTGAATATTAAATTTAAAAAAGGGTAATCATAGTCTCCCGCGCCAAAGTATCCTAGCAAGATGAGATTATGTAAAGGTCTTTAGGGTTTCGGTTTACTCTTATGAAGTCTATGGATATGAAGTGCTATGCTTTTCTTGCAAACGAACTAACTTTAACTGCTAACATGATGGAAGAAATCGAGAAACAGTTCTAGTTATGCTTAACTCAATAAAGATCATGTAATGAAATCACTGAAAACTCTCAATATTGAAATTGCAGATCCATCATTGCCCTCAGTGGCATTGAACGTGAAAGAAGGTCGGGAAAATCTGTTGCACAAATCACATGCGGCCTGGAAATACGTGTACCAGCATCATCTGAACGATTCGGATTGGTTCCTCAAAGCAGATGATGATACCTATGTTGTCATGGAAAATCTCCGCTACATGTTACGCAATCACGATCCTTTGAAACCTGTTTTTTTTGGCTGCCGCTTCCATGGTTTCATGAGCGGAGGAGCAGGTCAGGACGCTGTCTGAAATTCAGGTGCATGGCAATCACGAATTCATGCCTTTTTGGATAACTAGTGCTATTCTTTTCCTACTGTAGGATTTGTCCTGAGCCAAGAGGCAGTGAAAAGACTGGTGGAGAAGTCATTACCGAATCCCAACCTCTGTCCTATTCGAGATGAGGGTGAAGATGTGTACATCGGTGTGATACTCCTCTTTTTCACCAAACATCTATTCACGAGTACTCTAAAATTATAGATTATTATTTATTTAACTGAGGGATGTAAAGGGATAGATAAGGTCCTTATTTCTGGATGTATTCAGAAAATACTGCTTTGACTTGATGGTCTCGTAGCCATTATCTCGCTTTCGATGCTACAGGAGGACCATTTAATCCTGATGTTTTCCAAATAGCTTTTCATAATCTACATGAACTTGTTAAGCTATATCGGGAGAAAACAGGGAGTTCTATATCCAACTCCATAGACAATGTAGTTTTAATATGCTATTATAAATCAGGAGAAAATTGTGAGAGAGGCACCTCAAAAGGGATTACACAGGCACATCGTGTTTTTACTTACATTCCTCTGCAAATCCTGGTAACATTGAACTATCATTAGTATGGCAATTGCAAAGATAATTCTGAAGTGCGATCCTTCCAGCTGCCAATTGCATATTCTTTCTACTTTAACTTAATTAGAACACCTAAACACCACCATTTTCCCTTCAATCCGTGACAGGGAGATGCCTGGCTGCAGTAGAAGTGGAATCGGGTGATTCCCGGGACGAGTTGGGACGCTGGCGTTTCTTACCTTTTGCTCCAGAAATTCACCTCAATCCAATTCCAGAGGAAGGTTATGGCTGGTTGTTTAGGTTTACCTACCACAATTACACGGAAGGACCTGAGTGCTGTTCGGATACTGCTGTCTCCTTCCATAAAGTTTCCCCCACACTCATGCACGCTCTGGAGTATCTCGTCTACCACCTACACCCATATGGCACCACTCTTCTCACCCAGCATGATGAGGCCGCGACCGGAAATCGCTCAGGCATTTGAAATCTTTACAGGAATGCCAGTGTGTTCATTTCGTCGCTTGTTCAAAACATGGGCGTTCGATAAATGTATTCTATAAATCCCGGTTTTGTAAAGTTTTATTTAAAAGTGCTCTTACCTTCTCTTACCCATTTTCTATATATCTGAATTATGGTCCATTTATGTACAGTATATGCCAAACTCTTGATCAAATGCAAAATACATACGAGCAGTGAAAAAATTAGTTAGAATTGGAGCATCATTTCCAATTTTCCAAAGAATCGGAAATGCCTCTGGAATGGATTGAGTGTTAATATAATTGTACTAGCGAGCGCGATTATCGCGCCTTCGGCGCTCCATTACCAGGATAGCGATTCAATAATTTGTTTTCAAAGTGGCAAAAACAATTAAAAGTATGTGCCCATCGGAATGTGTATCGAGAGAGAACAAACCGATATTTTCATCGGAATAATTACTCAAATCGTTTATTGTGTGCCAAACTTCAAATCTCTTCATAATCTGCCCTGATGGGTCACATTTGAAAATTAGGAACATGTACTCAGCAATCGAACAGGTAGACCTGCTCAAATTTACTGATGGGGGTGAGGCGCGCGCCAAAAATAGGCACCAATTATGAAATTCCCTTGCGCTTGCATTTCGAGCTGCAGCGACATCTATAATGGGATATAAAAAACTCCCAGTCTTCCCCGATCGATTCAAATCCTGCCCGACTCATGAGTCGGGCAGGATTTGAACATTTAAGTCTTATTGTTCTTCTGGTCTGAAACCATGGAAACCTCGTGCCATGACCGAAATATTAAGTGTGCATGTAATTAAGAGTAAGATATGTAATTTTGAATGCACGTAATCTAAGAGAAGGGAAATCCTAATTTGCGTGGCAATGAATATAAATAAAGGAATAAGAAATATTAGACGGGCATGGTGCAATTAGTGTCACGCGAGACCGAAATATGTCTCTTTCTTCAATATATTTTCCCTAGTCAGTCGGCTATCGACAACCTTCCTTTTTTTGCCATGCAACTTGGAATGAGGAGGAAATACATAATGATGCATTGGTTAAAGCGTTTAATTGTTGCTCGGGTCGGGTTGGGTCGTGCCGATGAGTTGGGTTGGAATTCAGGTTTCGTGTCAGGTGCGGGCCATGACTTGAATCGGGCCTATCGGGTCGGGTACAGGAAAATCTGCTCGTGCAGTGCTCTACCGGGGAATGCATTGTAGTGAAAAGTGTAATAGCTTAAAATTCATCTGCGGTTGATGACATTTCAAATCTGATTTCACTGTGCACACCCACTGACCATGAGCTTTTGAACGATGCATGACATGCTAGGATATTTGTTAACCGGATGTCAACCGGAAGCCTGAGAGTACGATAAACGAAATCTCGCTTGTAACCACAGGCATGATGACGAAAGATGTTCTCTGGGCTTTGGTCATTCTGGAAGAGCTCAATCACAGCCGCACTCTTTAGTTTCAAGGCGTTCGTAACGCAAAACGTAAAGTAATATGATATTGAAGTTTCACCCACGCATATATACCACTTGGGTGGAAGAAATGGGAAAATAACAGATTGAGGCTGAAACCTGTTGAGCTCATTTAGTCTATATAAACGTTTGGATGATATATATATTTGTATGATAGTTGTATGTACGAGGTAATATCTTACTTCCTTGGATTTTTGTTTTATTTAGAAACTACAACTATTAGGTGAATACAAGGAACAGATAGCTGGATTATTTTGTGATACATCTCAACAATCACTTCGGTTATGGCCATTACATTTTTCGAACCTCTTGTGTGGGAGGTACTACTAGGACAAAGTTCAATGGCTTCCTGATTTGGGTTTCCTATCATTCCATACACTGGCCTCCAAAAGTGAGTCAATGGGTCGGGTTTTCGTGTTTAAACCAAAATATCTCTTTCAATATTCAACCAAGTCAATTGCAATTCATGTCAATTGTAGTCCTATTGTATAGCTTTGATTTCAAAAAGAATCATGGAAATCAATGATTTATTGCCAAAAATATCTCCATCCAAAGTCAAAGTGGGATGAGTCAAAATTTTGGCGAATTTCAATGATTCCAAAAACTAAAATTTTGTGTAGCCACACTGCATCCCGTGTAAAAGAATCGTTCCAGAACAGCAAAATCAAGGTGATGACATGGTCAGCGCCATCTCCGGACCTCAATCCTATCGAGCATTTCTGGGATCACATCAAGCGTAAGCTCAGAAACTTGCTTCCTGCTGGAAATACCGATCAACTTTGGGACCAAGTTCAAGACATCTGGAATTCCATTGACGGTGAAACATGCCTTTGTCTGGTGAGATCGATGCCCAAACGTCTTGAAGCCGTCAGAAAGGCGAAGGGTGGCTACACAAAATTTTAGTTTTTGGAATCATTGAAATTCGCCAAAATTTTGACTCATCCCACTTTGACTTTGGATGGAGATATTTTTGGCAATAAATCATTGATTTCCATGATTCTTTTTGAAATCAAAGCTATACAATAGGACTACAATTGACATGAATTGCAATTGACTTGGTTGAATATTGAAAGAGATATTTTGGTTTAAACACGAAAACCCGACCCATTGACTCACTTTTGGAGGCCAGTGTATGGAATGATAGGAAACCCAAATCAGGAAGCCATTGAACTTTGTCCTAGTAGTACCTCCCACACAAGAGGTTCGAAAAATGTAATGGCCNCGCGTTGGATGGTGGTGGCGGTGGAACACTTTCCTGTAGTGGCCAGTCTGCAGATGTACTTTTCGTCCTGCTTGTCCAGGACACGAGGACGGCCTCTTGAAGCAAAGGGTGCATTGGTACTATATTTATTGATGTACCGAGCTGCAGTTGACTGAGAAATCGAAAGAATTTCGCCAATTTGTCGGCTTGATTTGTGCTGAGACGCAAGCTCCTTGATGCGTTCTTGAATACGCTTAGACATGGCTTTCACCATTGTAATGCAGCTTGAGAGAGAAAAATGATGAAAGAATGAGATGGAGTAGGACTGGGCCGAGATTGCTGCATTTATTTATATGATTGGAAACACCAATAATCGCCAAAATATTGACACACCCCCGGCGAGTATGAATACATGCATATTGGCCGCGAACTGATCGATCATGGTGATTTCATATCTCTACGTCATCTTTTTATTTCATTTTATTTATTTTACCCTTCAGGGATGATCTGTATTTGCTGTTAGCATGGGATGATTTTATCTTATCTCTAATATTTCTCGAATACATTTAGCCAGTGAGCTCCAAATCCGTCCACTATTATCCTTAGCAAACAGTTGCTTCAGTTTATATTTACTTGGGGATTTCCAAAAATACTTGCTCAGATAGTTTTTTCTCATGCTCGGAAGATGACTACCATATATTGTTAGAGTGCGAGTCATATTAATAATATAATAATATTAGGATATATAATAGGATAATAGTGGACGGATTTGGAGCTCACTGGCTAAATGTATTCGAGAAATATTAGAGATAAGAGAAAATCATCCCATGCTAACAGCAAATACAGATCATCCCTGAAGGGTAAAATAAATAAAATAAAATAAAAAGATGACGTAGAGATATGAAATTATGGTATTATAGCATGTGCTGAATTACCTGAATAAACTGAGCTAGAAGTCACTGTCGCAAATTTATTATTCTTGGTGAATATACATAAATATATTAAGAATGCCAGGTTTCTAGAAATATTTTAGTTCCATCCGAAATGGAATAAACGGAAAGCTCAAATTTGTTGCACAAGTACCTGATACAGTATAGACTTCATGGAAATTGAGAGTTTGAAAATACATCACCACAAGGCACGTTTTTGAGGGAAAGATGCAATCTTGTTAATATTATCGACTGTAGTGAAATTTGGCTGATATACTGAGATAAAACTTAATGGAATATGAACTGTTGCCTTTCTCAGTTCACAAAAAATCCAATTTTCGAGGTATGTGCCCTCAGGGGACATTTATTAAAAAGTTCGGATTCCCATGAATACTATGCATATAAAATTGTCATGAATGAAAAGCTGAAATTGGGCTGCAAAGTAAACGTTGAGGTGCAGATTTCATGGTTAGTGAAAAAAAAGGTTGGAATAAATAAAGAAAAAATGCTCCCAAGTTATGAATTGTTAGAAATCGTCTTTTACATTAAACTTTCATTGCCTTCTATTCCCCTTATTATTTAAACTGGTATGAGGATGATTTTTTGAGGGGAAATATTCATTTTTTCCAATGCAGTCGATTATGCCCAAATATGACCGAACCTAACTTTGTCAAAAACTTGAAAATTTAAGGAAAACGTCAGTTACTTGATTTCCAAGTACCCTCCTTAAAAATTACAAATGTGAAATTGAAATCGGTTTAGGGCAAAATCCAATCGCATTTGATCAGGGGAATGTGATTTTGGATGTGAATCCCTTTTTAAATTTGAGACTTAATTTTTTCCTCCGTGGGGCATACTTAGAAAGTTGCTTCTTTCATCGGCGAACATAAATAAGTAGTGAGACTTATTGTTGCAAAAGATGCGTCTTTGCTGAGGCCCCATGCAAAGGAGGATGCAAACAACTGCCACCCGCGTTATAAACCATAACAGGTGCAATTGATAGATCTTGATGAGTAGATCAAAGCTGTCAATGGGCACAAATCTGTGACACTGCGATCATTGAGTTATAGGTCATCAAAGTTCAAAACTTCGGTCTCTCTAATTCTTTTCCATTGCTTACAAGTTGTACAAATTAAAATGTTGATTCAATGTTATGTGCTCCTAGGGAGTCCGGTCCTGATACCTAGCAAATATGTGGTCGCTAAGTACCATACACTCCTGGTGGCAATCAAACAAAAAACATTCGGGCTTCGTCTCATGACAAATGAACGTTTTTGACATTTTATATTCGATTTTCTTAAACTTTACGCTAATCCAGGGTCCAGGTTCGTCCATATTTTTACATTTTCTTTTGTGTTGAGGTAAGCACGAATGTTGACAGACCTGCTA